AGCTTTGTACTGTTAGTCAGAACAAATGCTTAATTGAATCCAATCTGATCAATATGAGATCTAGTCTCTCTGATTTCAGTATCAATGAACTAGAACCAAACAATATCATAAACAGGTTGTACTAGTTACAAATTAATCTCAGATAAGGTATTGTTGAAAACTAGGCAGAGAGAGACAATCACTTGGTCCTAGTATGCTATCTACCTACAACCTACAAACTAAACATAACTCCGCACATATTTTTCAACTAGACTATAATAAACGGTTTACTAGAGATTTCTTCAAGTTCTTTTTTTTCTGAAGGTTAAATAGGAGTCCGTGACTAATAGAGTTCAAATATATATCTTTCAAGATATGACTTACCAACTTATATCTATCTGCTTTCTGTATTAGCGAATGAGCTTAAATTTTGTTAAGGTGAATTTTTTTCGATGATGTAATTCTTAAGGATAATTCTAATTCATGAAATGGAAGATTAAATAAAAGGTCCAAATTTACAACTTTACATTGTTGATTTGTACTTGACACAACCATTTGGAATCTATCAACATCTATTGAGAGAATAACTCTAACTTATTAGCATTATCCATTGTGTTTATTGAGTATCTATAAGATTATTCGGTAACTATAATTTTAGAACTGTTATTGTTATGTAGCTTTCTTACTCATAATCCGAACGTTTTGATTAAAATCATTTGCATTAAATGCAAATACATGGAAGCAGTTTGCACAATAAACTAGTATAAAGCAGATTCCCTGTTGTTATCTTGAAACTATGGTTCGGTATATGCCTATGGTAATTGAATATCAGAGAATAATCAAGTTTATTCTAATGTGTACGATTTTTATGGAGGACTCGACAGAATGACAATCGACACTAAAACACTTTAACGTTAAACATTGACATGTTATTATGAGGTAGAGAAGATAAGGTTTTCAAGATGAATTTGTACTCTGAATAGACATAAAAAAATTGAAATGAAACATCCCTTCTATTTCGTAAACTTAATTACCTTGAAACAAAATTAACGGACTAAAAGTAATAACAACAAATCAGATAACAGAAAACGTTTAGTGTGGAATCATGAAATTGTCCTTTATAGAAACAACTAACACGTAATAGCACAAAACTACATAATCTCAGCTCTTCTTAACATCTCCTTTCACTTAACAGTGAGTTTTAAATTAATAAGTTAACAAAGTAAGTTATCGAAGTATATTTCTGTAGAAATGATGGCATACTTCTTAAAAATGTGAAACTTAGATTAAACAAACAACTTTACAATATTAATCTTAAATAGTGTGATGTTGGTTGTACTTCGACAAATTACTCATGTGGTCCATCAAGCAGCTCATGGGTGTATTGTCATAAATTTTAAAGGTTTTCTACCTTATCTTACGGATAGTGCTCTGAAGTTTTACTAAAGAGTTGATAAAAATTTCTAATTCATATTTTAATATTAATCTATCTCCTCAATGACACGACGTAAACAGTGTTTATTTAGCGAAATTTTTCTTATCCTTCTAATCTATCAAGACTAATTTGATAGTATAAGTACATGTTACTCTATTCACAATCCTATGATTACGTCATATCACTTTATACACTGCTAAGGAATCAATTATATTCTGATAAGCAAATTCCGAGATCTTCCTACAAACGATCACATATTTCCTACCGTTCAATACATATTACATTCTTCAAATGCTTTGTTCGTATACTAACAACCAGTTAATTACCCGAGCAAAAGGCAACAGAGGAATACAAAGTGAAATTGCAGTAGATTACAAACACGGTCTTTTACCACCCTATTTACGAGTTGTAATTCATTCTTGCAGAATAGTAGACCGAGTATGGAATCAATTGTATGAATTTTCACAGATTGAAATCATGAGTCAGTTGAAGCTAGACCACCATTGGAAACCTGGAAGCACTGGACGGCCGTTTCGTCCTAGTATGGGACTCCTCAGCAGTGCGCATCTACGATCCCACACCACGCGGGGCTCAAACCCAGGACCAACTGGCTTCGCACACGAGCACTTGACCACTAGACCACTGAGCCGGCATCCAACGGTGTTAATGTCTAACTTCAACCAATCCACAAAGTTGCGCTACCGTGCACCATTGTCTTCAGTGAGTTCCTATCTCACAACAGACCTGGTTGAACTCCACTGGTAACGACTTCTCACTAGAACTCCTGAAGTGTCTCCTGAAGTCAGTCACTAGTGAGCAGGTGATTATTATTATTATCAGAATGTGTTTTGTGGAGATTTTTTAGAAATTTTCACAGATTGAAATCATGAGTCAGTTGAAGCTAGCGCAACTTCATGGATTGGTTGAAGTTAGACATTAACACCGTTGGATGCTGGCTCAGTGGTCTAATGGTTAGGTGCTCGCGCGCGAAGCCAGTAGGTCCTGGGTCCGATCCCCGAGTGGTGCGGGGTCGTGGATGCGCGTTGCTGAGGCGTCCCATACTAGGACGAAACGGTCGTCCAGTGCCTTCAGGTTTTCAATGGTGGTCTAGCTTCAACTGACTCATGATTTCAATCTGTGAAAATTTCTAAAAATCTCCGCAAAACACATTCTGATAATTGTATGAATATTTTTCAGTGTTTCAGATGTTCTTCCAAATTTAATAATCGTCTCTTTAACATAACATTCTAAATAATACTCTTACCTAGTACAAGTAGGTAATAAGTAATGATCAGTTCAACTATTATCTACTTATTAATAGATCATTTCTATCTATGGTTAACTATAGTAACTGAAAATTATTCATAATAGAAACAATCTTGATTGAGTTTGTATAATACCGCATGTTTTACATCTCACTATTTCATTCGTCTCTTCTGAACCAATTTTCCGTACAGCAATTATGTTACAATTTGAAAAACGTAACTTTTCATGTTCCAAGTTTTCTTCATTATGTTGATGTGAAATGTAACAAATTAGACCAGATCTTATATTGTTTACTAACGAATGACTGACTGACTGCTCGATAAATAGCCAGACAGATAGATAGATAGACAGACGACATTCCAACAATAAATACACTGGTTATTGAAAGACAACTTACATATTTTCTAATATGTACACTACAAGTAGTAATCTTTAATCACCACTCTCTGTTTACTGTATAAGTTACTTGTTCATGTACACTAAACAACTGAATTATTAAACACTCATTCAAAATTTATAAACTAATCTATGAAACGTTTAGCAGTGAAGTTTTACAATATAACTCTGATAATAAGAAAGAACATAGCTATGCACAGCTAATATAGAATTAAAAAGAACATAATGCAAATAAACAACAACAACAATACATAATAGTGATAATCGTACGCTTCTAATCTTTATATATATTACGTTTTTTTGGTTAGCGTTTTTTAACGAGTTAGTTTTCTACAGGATGAGATCGTAACCCAATGCCCAACCCTCCACCTTTATCCGGGCTTGGGACCGTCAGTAACTCTAGAGGGGCTCCAGGTGGTTATATATATATAAGGTTGGAAAGTCAGTACGTTTCAGGGATAAATGAATTTACAGCCACATCGAAATCACTTGAAAAAGACATGGTTTTAACAACATTTAATCTTTTCCCACTCAAATGTATAGAATTAATTTCTTAGCTGGTTTTGGTTGACTTTAACAGACATCACGGAATGTGATTAGTGTATAAAGTTGATCGATAAATTTCATGTGAATGGGTCATAAGGTCAACTGAACCAAATGAAGTTAAATATTGATTTATTCTTGCGAAAAAAAATGGACTATCTTCAGCGAAATTACAATCAGCATATAACCTTTTATGTCACGGACTGAAGCTATCTAAAGAACCTATCGGAAACCACATGGCATAGGACAGTTGTTTCATTTTCTTTTGAGACTCCTGGATAATGAACACACATGATCAAACATGGGGTCTAATAGAGTAAAGTTAAGTATCAAGGCAAACGTGATAACATAAGGCCATATGGTTGGAATTTCTAAAACACCTACTGTTATGAAAATAGTTTTTGTTATGAACTGATATTTTTTTCTGAAGAACCATTGAAAATCCAGGGTACCTAACAGTTGTTGTGTCCTAGTTCGAGACACCTTCATTGCATTCAATCACTGAGATATATTGTGAACCACATTTGTTCACAATCTGACACTGGAGTTGAAGTTTAGACCATCCCATTCTGACTGAATTCTGTGCTGACCCAGAGACCTGTGCAATCGTGAATGAACACTGATGGTAGGTCTCGAGTTGTCCAAAGCTCCACGATTTTCAGTAGTTCAACAATTGATATCAGTTTGTAAAGGAAACTACATTCAAAGTTACAAAAATCTCTTCGCAAAACACCCAAGCATTAGCTGTATATCACAGATAAAGAAAATAACTGAACTATTCATTTTCTCTACCAATAATATTGCTTCCTTTCCGTTCTTATTTCTTCTATTCCTTTTATCTTCTGTTATCGACTGATAAATGTGACTAAAAAAGTGTAATCAAATTATACCATTTTATTACTTTACTAATGAACAAATTCATCCTAGTCAGATTGAATCCTTCTAGCTGAGTAATTTGATCGTGTTATATGTGACAAAATTCATATAAATCACTTCTTTATATACTTCACCTTTATAATATTGTTGTTTCGAAAGATAATAAAAACTTTATAATTAAAACAAACTCAACTCAAAGAACATAATTCCACTAAAATCATCTACGCAAGCTACAAATCATCCCCAGTACTTCATTTTATTCATTTAAATAAACGTTTCTAAGGGATATATATATATATATATATATATATATATATATATATATATATATATATTGTTGCTTTACCATGCTTGTATACAATATATACAATACTGTAAATATAAATGATTATTGAACAATCAGAGGAGACTGTTATCAAAATGAATCATATTCAGAATCTTTTTCTGAATCTACTATTCCTTCTTTTCTTTTCTTTTTGACTTTCATTGAATATTCATATATAAATTATATTATACTTGGTCTGTCACATTCCAATATTAATAATCGACTAAATAATTGAGGTAAACTAGAATAACATTGAAGAATTTGTTTTTTATTTGGTCCATCTATAACAAATTTACGTACTAAATTCCCTTTATACATAAATAAATATTTACTTATTAAAATTTTACAACCAGTTTTTATTTCTAAACTATGTAAAATATATTTCATTCTATGAAATATTGTTAAAAATTGAATTGTATCCAATTTTGTTTGATGCATAAACATGGTATAACGTAACCAATCCCTTGGTAACAAGATATGATTATTATTATTATTATTAATATTTGTATTTGTTTTATTTAAATAATTTATTTTCATTTGTTTATTTTTTATTGATAATTGTTTAAAATTGATCATTGAATACGTTTCATCATCATTATATTGTAACCATTCTATTAAATTTAACATATTCGATGTTAAAATAGTAAATCCAAGTATAGATGTATTAATTAATGGCCAATGAGTTGATTTTAACATTTTGTAACTATGATGATTTTTAACCATTGTAATATTAGTAGTATTAGTATTAGTAGTATTATATTTCATTTTCTTATTTTTGATAGGAATAAAATAATTTATAAATTTATTATGAATTAATAAATTATTGTAATAGTTAAAATCATAATTCAATTCTTTATCATTACTAATATCATTATCATCATTTAATATTGAATAAAAATCAAACTTATTTAAAGAATTCTCATTTAATAAATCATGTTTATTATTATTCAATTGTTTTAATGGATGATTATTGAATAAAGAATATTGATTGAATTCATTTAAATCTTCAATAAATATTGATTTTCTATTATAATCATTATCATTATGATTATGATCAATATTATGTAATAAATTCAAATGATTTGATAATCTTTTACAATTTGTAATTTGTAAACAATTTCCCATGAATTAAACGTTTTCAATGTTCAATATTTTTTTTGTTCTTTTATGCTATTCATTAAAACAAAATATCTATATAGAATGATTATAGCACAACTATAAGTATAATAATAATAATAATAATAAATGAACAAATTATTCCTTTTATTAAGAAGAATGTAATTCTATAATATAGTTAGATTATTTTCAAAAATTTATTTTATCGACCATATTGATATTGAACATATTGAACAAATGAATCACGTGGTTAATAATATAGAAATTCAATAAACTATACATCAAATCCAAAAAAGACAAATTAATAAACATTCTACTCGTTATTTAGTTTAATAAAAGAAAATTCAATTAGTTAAAGTGATTTAGATATCTTTTTAAGTTATTATAATCAGTAATAGACAAAAGTGTATATATATATATATATATATGTGTAAGTGTTATAATAGTAATAATAATCAAAGGAATAATGAAAACTGGATTAAAGTAAAATGATGAAAGAAATTATTCTGGTGAATTTGAATTTTTTCTTCATTAAAACCATGAACCGATTGATGTTAGATCACCAGTGAAAACTTGGAAGCACTGGACAGCCGATTCGTCCTATTGTGGGATTTCTCAGCAAAGCGCGTTTATGATTCAGCCCAAGGGATTCGAACTCAGGGTATTCAGTCTCATGCGAGAATGCTTAACCTTTAGACTAATGAGCTGGTATCCAACGGCGTTAATGTCTAACTACAATCAATTCACGAAATTGAGTGACCATCTTCCATTGTACTGAGGTAGATACATTTCTCTAGCCGATACGGATTAGCTCCATTAGTCACTGGTCTAACATCAATCAGTTCATGATCTCAATCAATAGCTAAATAATCTCCACAACCCTATACTGATAATTTGAATTTGAATTAACAATGAAGTTCAGAATGTATATGAAATATTGTTTAGGGTTTTTCTAATGAATATTTAGTGAATGGAAATGTTCAATGCAAAATCATAATGACTTAGTAAAATATAAAAATTATACATTAAATACATCATTTGAACATTTTCTTTGCGTTATTCTTTACATATTCCATTATTTGTTTAATTCTGTTGTTATTTCGAATGTACTCCGATTTCCTTCCTGTTCTCTTCATTTCAATCTTCTACTACCAGGCATTCCACTTGCGACTAGCGTTACATGCTGTCTATATCTGTCATCACAAGTAGAATACATCACAGATGCATCCGCCACATCCCAGTGTTAATATTTAAACGGGGAACAATTAATACCTTTAATATATTATTTTTTAATACCTACTATTCTGCAAAGGATAGAGATTTGCAGCCAAGATAGATGTTTTTAGTGTTACTGAGTTCAATCAGCTGGATAGTTTAACCACAGAGTTTTCATTTTCATTTTCGACAATATAATCAGCGCTTTGTGCACGAATTAAACAGCAACACTTACAGTATTTCGTTCTGATTACACCTTTGAGCTTTCGTAAACACTTTTATGTATTAATGTGGTATATTTATTGAGACCAGTTTTGTTTATTTGTATTAAAGTTATGATAGACGTTCAATATTAAGATTTTCTCTTATGATAAATTCTTATGTTGGACTAAAGTTATTATTTTATTTATAACACATATGTATATTTTTACATAATAGTTCACTAAAAAGATGGCTCCATACAAAATAGAATGACAACTTTCGTGGGGATTAGTTATATAAATCGATAATGATAGTATTTAATAAAAAAGCACTGTTCGGTTAAGGACCCATCTGGGATAGATTTCTTCCAGCGAAATGGACCATTTTGATTTTATGAAAAATTTAATGGAAAATTACTGCGAAATATTATTGGTTTCCATTCTAAAGCATATGGGAAATCACTGGTTTGTATGAATTTTAGGACTGTAACCTATGTAGTTATTTTTTGTACCATGGTACCATTTAACAAACGAAACGCCTCTAGGGATTTTTTAACGCGGTTACAACGTCGAAAAATTATTTGAGATGTGGAAACCATCTGAAAGGTATTCTTAAAATATGTCCAAGCCACAAAGGCTAGTACTATAGCATTTCGACAACATTTAAGATGTTATTACTGTATTCAAATACATGTTATTGAACATAGGGATTACTTAGACAGTCTCAATATCAGATGTGAACAATCTTTCACTGACAATGTTTAAACACTGAGTTGCCAAACATTCATAGCTTAAACGACCCTTATTTCACTTGAAAAGACAGACTGGTTGCGCACCCAATCTGTTACATCCAAAATAAGCATATGAGTAATTGTCATTGTTCAGCAACCCACATCGTGGATGTTATTCACAAAGGGGTAGTAAAGATCATCTTGGTGACAACTATGACACCGAAGGACAACTGCTCGAGGCAACTTAAACATGACCTCTTTGAGAGTAGTTTAGGAAGTATTAGCTCTGAGCTTTTCAAACCTAACTGCTCATACACGAAATCCATGGGGTAATGTCAGGTTTACTATTGGAAGGACCGACCTCTTCTAACCCCTTCTTTCGTTGTGGGAAGGTATAACCTCTAAAGATGATTGCTGTATATTGCCAATACTTTTCAGATGTTTTGTTACACTGGATATTTATTTGCAAACCACGAAAATTTATAAACATTTTAGACTATATTCAAAATGACTGCCCACTATCCGATTTTTGAGATATATCCTTCCGATAAACACAACCAGAAAGTGGAAATCCGTTCAAATTCACACGAACAAATTCAAACTATTGGTTCAAAATATGAACGATATCGATAAAATACTGATGAATACAAAAAAGAATGGTTGTTTGGTGGCCAGTAGTGGGACCCAAGACGAGCGTTTCGTTCTATGTGGGACTCGTTAGCTACTAGCTATCAACCATCTTTGCTTATAATGCTCGTGGATTAAGGCATTATAGAGGCAATCCGCACAGGATGTACATCTACCAATAAGAGACTGATCAATTGCAGTCCTAAACATCAATGGGGAGATCCAAACAAACAATATCAAATCAATTCAAAAAAGGATGGTTTTATTGATAAAGATGGATGCTGTCAGTGTTCTCTAAATCAGACCCTTTAATTATTAGCTTTTATTGTCATTCTGTTCAGAACTATCAGTTCCTACTTTAAAGTGATACCGTAACGGTAAATCAATCTGTACTAATATTGACATATTTTCGATTGCATTTTTAAGGTAAATTTGTTATACTAATATTCCTTTTCCATTCCCAATGATTATATGTTCAATTAGCTTTATTGACGTAGATTAATTGGTTATATTCATTTCTACATGATTAATAATCCTATACTGATCTGTACGAAATGTTAGCACAATTACATCTTCTTGTCTATAACCGATATTTTCGTAATCTAATTCGCATTTATAGATGTCCATGTGCATGGATATAAGTAACGACAAGTAGTATAGTTTAACTGACAAACTCTTTGGGTACGTAGGTAAAGGTGAGACACACTTTATTCAATGTAATGCTTCTCGTCTGTTTAATCTCCCAATTATATTTAAAGTAGACGCCGTGAATGTCGCTTGCGGAGATAGTAAAGGCTTTACGACTATGTCAACTAGCTCTGAGAGGGTAACATCAAAAAACCAACAGAATACGAGGCATCCTAAGTCACTTAATAAGTGTTTTAATGAATGAAATTTAGACTGTTTCAATAAGATTGTAAGTGTCCCCTACCCAATTCTGATTAGTCAGTATGAATATCTGGTAGTTTTCCATATAGTTACAATCGTAGTCATATTCGTAAGTAAACAATTCAATCAACTAGTATAAACTTCAAACCCCAGACACTAACTATGTCGCATTAATTTATGGCCTGACATTATTTTGTACTATCTGGGAATCGATAAAACATTGTGATTTGCTCTATGTAGGAGTAAATTTAAGTAATGACTGAGGCCATTGGGACGTTTTCAATGTTCAACAAATATTATACCATCCAAAAATTTTCAGACATTTTTCTATCCTCGGTTTGGGGTTGTGGAGATTGCTGAATTTCATCGGAATCATGAACCGATCAACGTTAGATCACCATTAGAAACTTGGAAGTACTGGATGGCCATTTTGTCCTCGTATGGGACTCTTCAAAAGAGAGCACCCCCGATGCCTCACTAAAGACTCGAACCCAAGGCCGTCGGTCTTGCGCGAACGACTAGACCACTGAGCCGGCATCCAAAGGTGTCAATGTCTGGCTTCAACTAATCCACGAAGACAATGGAAGATGGTCGCTCAATATCGTGGATTGGAGTGAGATATTAACACCGTTGGACGCCGGCTCAGTGATCTAGAGTTTAGGCGTTTGCGCGAGACCGAAAGTTGTGGGTTCGAATCTCTCTTGAAGGATCGTGGATGCTTACTTCTGAAGAGTTTTATACTAGCCCGAAACGGTTGTCCAGTACTTTCAGGTTTACAATGGTGATCTAACATTGATCGGTTCACGACTTCAATGGAATTTTTCCATCCACTTATTCTGTGTGCTGTATATAAGTGTCCTTTACAATGGACATTCCACTATAATCGTTTAAAGTTATCCACGTCTGCCTGTTTAGAACACATTGTATAGTATATTCAAACATGGCGGGAGGAAAACACAAATGTAAAGGAATTTAGAGCTTGAAATGAAATCATTAAATAAATTCCACTATAATCTGAAAGTCACCCACCAAAGAAAAGGAAAACTACCGGAAAATGTTGGATACCACAAATTCATTAAGCTCAGATAAACAGCCGGATTACCTCAGATTGACGAGCACTCATCATTAAATGCGTCCAACGAAACTATCCAATGTGTTTGTAGGTTTTTTTCTTCATAAATAACTCAGAAGGTATGATCATACCCAAAGCTTTAATAAACTGTGCATATAAATCTTCATTATTATAAAAAATCATCTTGTTGACATGAAATGGGATCAAAGAAGTTCCGTCTTTTGGTAAGGAATGAACTTTCATGTAACGAGTTATCCTTAAGCGTCTTCAGTAAGC